GGTGACTAGTCGACTATCAAAATAATCGTTTGTGGCAGCCCTAATGCTGATATTCTTAGCGTCATAACAGCAATAGAAAACAACTTTAAAATAGCTTTTATCTTGTATCTTTAACTAGTAAAGTGTAAACATTAACTTGTATTTTAATTCTTATTTATTATTTTTGGTTATTGTTATTCATCCATGCAAAGGTCTCTTTTATCTTCCCATTTCACTGTGAAAATTCAACCAAAACTGGTGACTTAAAACCTTAAACTTGCCTCTTTTCCCACTAGACGCTGTTGGACTTGGGTGCATCTCCTGACTATAAAGACAGCAGGGGGCTAACTCCTCTCTACCACAGTTCGATGGTAGGAGGAGATCCCTACTGCTGTGAGCTGCTGCTGCACGATCATGCACAGGTCGGCTGTGTGGATGAGAATGGCTGGCAGGAGATACACCAGGTAATACACAGTAATACACACATTACCCTAACCCAGACCTTCCCAAAGTGTGGGGCCCCAGGGAAAAGTGGGGGGAACAAAACGCTTGGACACTGCTAGCACGGGGCGCCTACAGAAACGCAAAGCAGGAGATGAAGCATAGCTGAATATGTTTCCAAACCAACTTCATTCTAAGCCAAAGACTAGAAAATATGGTGAAGCATATCTTCCCTTTGGTTTCACCTGCACAAGTGCCAAGGTAGGTCTCCCCTGCATAATTGGTGTTCCCTTCGTCGGGAGCACGTGCTGGGCTCTTCAAAGTTTTAAAAAATCGCAGTTTTCGGTGATTCGAAACGCCATTTACGTGTGGACGAAACAGCTGCGTTTTCAAAAATACCCGTATAGGTGCGGACGTAGCGTAAAAGAGTTAGTAGTTTATTTTATTACTACCTGTCATTTATTGCAGTTTACTTGTATTTGCTTAATTGTTTACTAAATGTTTGAGGTGTGAAATAAAACGCAGTGGAGCAAAATATGGGTGTGTGTGGTTGGAGGATGTGTTTGTGCGTGTGCGCGTGTGTTTGGGAACCACTGCCCTAACCCAAACCACATGTTTACCCTAAACCAAATTAACCACAGCCAAATAGCTGAATCTTAAGC